TCAAACCGTGGGGAAACGCTTCAGCTCTTTATCTTCTTTTCCTTTCTTCTCTTTCCGGAACAAAGCGTTCTGAACCATTAAATCAAACAAACTTTCAACAGTAACGCCAGAGCTCTTAGCGACTGCACTAAAGGGACACAATGAAGTAGACGACCAGAACAGGTTACATTCCAGAAGAAATGGATTTCCATGGCGGTCTATTCGGAAGTCGAAAAGGCCATAGTCTTGGAGGTCTAGCTCAAGAAAAGCTCGACAGCTTTGCTGCTGGATACGCCTTATTAGTTCTCCTTCCTTTTCAGGGTCAAGATACCAAGTCTTAACCTCTGATGGTTTGCCTAGTATAGAAAGAAAGAAGAAAAAAATCATACCATGTAAGGAAGCCTTAGAAAACAGCCGACGTTTCACGACGCCACCAGTGATTTCCCCCTGAAGTGACGTCTGAGACAATGGTTCAGAATTTCCATAGTGATGACGCGTCACTATACCCAGATCTTGGTATTGGCCGTGACGCGTGGGAAATTTGTTTCATCAGTATTTTAAGCCTGGGCCCTGGATTAAGTGCTTAAGGAATACGTTGTCGTGGTTTATAACCATGTCCCTACAATAATGGCATATATTTTTATCCGCGGCTTTCGAGACATTAAATTTCTTTTTCCCTGTTGTAAGTAATGAAACTATGGGTTCCCACACTGTTCTCAATCTCCATCCTCGTTCCCCGTACAGTTGCAATATTTTTGGCCAGCGCCACAGATCGACCGGCTCTGGTTAGTTTCGGAACATCCGCGAGTGGCGGACTTCCGCCTTTCTGCGCAGTCCCTCAAATTCGACACAACAACCCCCATGATGGGGGTTCATTGGGCTGCCACATGCGCATGCTTGAGTGTATAGCTGCTCTCATCCCATGGAATTGGGTAGAGATGTCTGTTTGTTTATGTCTAAAGTTGACAGCCCCCTTCCGTTCTACGCTTCTACAACGTAGCAGGGGCAACTTTTGGTGTTTGAAATGTTATGTAGCAGTAATTTTTTGTTTCTCATGTGCTTCTTGCTTCTTAAAACTCGCAAAGCAAATCAAGTTTTAGTTTTGTTTCTGTCTGATGTTGCATTAAAAGCCCATCTAACTTTCTCAGTGAATACAGTTCTTTTTGGAGGGGCATCTAGAAATAGCGCGCATTTTCAGTCCTTTCAAGTTCTTGTAAGGAGTAACGCGAAGTGCGGTGATTCGTGCGCTTTGGAAATTCCCCACTTTCCCAATCAAATTCCTCCTCCTCTTCGAACGCACGGCAGGATAGCGTTCATTATCAAGCAAAGCTTGTGAGCAAGCTCTCCATTTCGAATATATGCCAAGTTCATGACTTATCCCCCAAATGGAGAGCTTGTACCTTTCAGCCTAAATCGAGCAGCGGTACCGCTTTCTTTATGACCAATTAAAAATGGGCTACTCACCAACAGGTAATCCTTCTTGATTATAGACTAACTTCTCCTCGGATTTACGGATGTCATCCTGGCGTACGTTGTATTCTATACACGACAAGGCTTTTATATCCTCTGATTCTTCTGATTTGACGACAGCGCAACGAATCTCCCGTCCTTCTATGAATCTGCCGGTATCAGAACACAAACTTTCTTACTTGCTACAGCACTAAGCTGAATATATAATTTGTTCATAGTGCATTAGCCTGCGTAGCTGGCGGTATTGTGTATTAGTCGAGTGAGGTTTGACGGCGGAGCCGTTGTTAGTAATATAGGAGGGAACTTAAGATGGAGACGTTTTCGGGGCGACGGCGACCGGACTGGCAGAGAAAGCCTGGAACTAAGGCAGCCGTCGCTCCCCGTCAAAAATAGAACATTAAGATCGCAGTGAACTCAGAAGGACGGCACCTTTCATTAGAAGAATACCGAAGAGGAAAATATGGCTTCACGTAAAGAATTAAGAGAATAAATATTTGCTATGCAGACAACATGTATCGGATGAAGAGTTTCTCGTTTTGTGGGAAAATTATGAGTCCAAAAATCCCGATTTTCCTCGGGACAGTTACGATCCGTTCACGCTAAAAAACGTGCGGGATGCAGCTGAGTTCAAGGCAGAATTTCGTGTTGAAAAAAACTGATCTCCACAGGCTTGCCGAAGCCTTGCAAATTACAGGAACATTAAAATGCTAGCAAGGAACCGTATTCTTAGTTTGGTATTGTCCCATGTCAAGCTCACTTACGGTTGGCTGTTTGCCAAGTTGGATCTTGACCCTGTGACATGAAAACATAGAAACATTCAAAGATGTAAGTTTAGATAACAGAGCTTGGAAATCGAGCTTGAAATGTGCCTCAAAGAAAACAAGGACAATTTAAGAACGATAATCTGCAAAATGTTGGTTGCTAAACGCAACAAACCTGATTGAAATGAAAGTTAAATACTCACGTTTTCGCCACAACGCCAAACAGACCAGTTTCACGTCGCCGACGGGACCACGACGGCAAGGTGGTGAGCCCAAGCATGCGCAATATCCAACAGATGATGATGTCACGTCCGGTTGAAGTTGCCGTCGCCTCGAAAACGTCTCTATCTCAAGTTCCCTAGTTGAGTGAGGTTTGACGGCGGAGCCGTTGTTAGTAATATAGTTGAGTGAGCTTTGGCGGCGGAGCCGTTGTTAGTAATACAGTTGAGTGAGGTTTGACGGTGGAGCCGTGACGAGCGGCGAAGCCGCGAGAAATACCGCCTGCCAGAGAACCATGATTTTTCGAATGCCGCCCATTTTTGTCACCTTAGCTGATCCCAATTAAATCAGCCAATCAAAGAGAAACCTGCAATTTGAAACTTCCGATTATTTTCGCGCGAGACAGGTTAGAAATAAGCGTTGACAAACTAAACAGGACTCCTAAGCTCGTGATAATGTGAAACGTGACCTTATGAGTTTACTTGAACAGAGGTTTTTCTATTTTCTCGGCTCTCGCGCAAAGGTTACTAGCACTACACAGTGCGTGTATCATTCTAAACTTTGACTGATTAAATCTTTTTTTGCCACACTAGGCTTAACATTAAAAGGTCATGAAGCTGGTTTGTTACATGCATACCGAGTAACCATTTCCTGTGGTTTATTCTTCTGTAGGTGTTCCTGATAGGATTTCATCTCAGATGCAGTTGTAAAGTGTTTTAATTTTCTTTGACCTTTGTTTCTTACGGCTAAATAAAGACAATTCCAGCGCTGTGAAGTTTAAAGACGCCATTTCGGCAATTTGGTCATCAATTATGCTCTTTTTAAACCACAATCACTTCCGTCTTCTCCAGTTTGCCATCTGCTCCCTTAATTGGGAAATATATGCGAAGGATCATCTAATTATAACATGATTGACATATATATGGTCCTCGACCAATCCGTTTCTCCGCACACTTGTGTGCGGACTATTCAAAATACCGGGGTTTTCTGGCAGGTGGTATTTCAACCGCCTCGTCCCCAGTCCCTTTTTTTGGAACACGGCTCCGCCGCCAAAACTTTAATCTGGCACCCACACACTACCGCCAGCTACGCAGGCTAATAGCGCATAGGCAAATCTTTGTGTCCATATTGGTTAACTAGCTTATACGCCTCCTTTTATCACCGTGTTTAAACAGCTAATTGCAACCGCCGGGTTCAAAAGGTTCCTTGGGAAACTGCGTCGGCGAAGGTAACGGGAACGACATAAAAGCAATAGGTTAAATAAGCAAAACAACAAGACCTCCCCTCAGCTTCATTTTATTCCCCTTCTTTTAACTAACTGGGTGACTTAAAATAATCACGAAAAAGTTTGGCCGCGTAGCAGGCGCTAGGAGCCCATATCACGGGCTCCTGGTAGGCGCCGTTTTTTTTAGGGCGAAGGAAAAAAACAAACATGACCGGCGCCTTCTCCTGCTACGCAGAAAGGATGCGAAGTCTATTTTTTCGCGACCAAGAGAGAATTTGTCGTGACGTTATCATTGGCGTCGCCGTTGTAGGTTCGTAATAGCCCACGTTTGATATATCAAAATTCTTACTCGACTCCTAGGCTTTAGGGAAAAAATTGAAATTTTTTTACGACTCCGCTGTCTCGCAATTTCCAGAACTGTACAGAAATATGACGAGAAAGCCTCGGGTGCATGTTAGAATTTTAATATGTCGATCGTGAGCTATTATACACGGTATGATTCCCTATTAACGGGTGCCTTCACGACAACGCTCTTTTGAAAAGAGCATGTTGTTCATGTTGTTTTTCAGGTCATCAGTATGACGATTTTACTCGGCGGTGATTAATTCTTTGGCTCATACATCTATCATACTGGACATCCTTTTCGATGCTCCAACCTACCTTTCAATGATTACTTGGTTCGAAAAAGTCAGCGCATGCTCAATAGCTGTATCTAACGACTGCTGGTCCTTTACTAGTCGCACTGCTCTGGTATCCTCTCCTTTGCTTGCCTTGACAACACACGGATACTGGATGTGCTCATTTGGTATAGGATCCCCTGTGATCAAACAAATACAATGAACGCTGTCAATACTTTAAGCAAAATCGACCGCCCGAGTCATCTCCCGCTCAAGATAGCTTGCTCACAGGCTACCCATGCCGACTTGAGTCACACTCAGTATTTGCATTGTTATCTTTTAAAAAGCTAAAAAATATTTTCGCATCAATTAAATTCCAGAAATAACGGTCCAGGGGCCCGTTTCTCAAAAGTCCTGGTAACGTTTCGGGCCCGAAATCAAATTTTCAAATAGAAATATAAAGAATAAGTGCGCTGGTCCTGGCTAGCAAACTGCTCCTTTTTGTCTAATTAGCTAATAGTTTTATCATGTTAGGTGCAAAACTGTTGAAATCTCTATCTTGCATGTAAACAACAACAGCTTTAGAGCGCGTTGATTATCGCGACTTTCGAGAAACAGGCCCCAGATGTATTATTGAAGACTTCATTTAGGCATCGTTGCTACGGCCAGATGGTAAGGAGGGGTATGGACTGAGCCAAATTCCCCATGTTTTAACGCTATACCTGTAAAACTCACTGTAAAAATATAACGGTAAGTGCTCCTATAAAAAAATTTTTGATGTCTTCTCTATCACCCTGCAAGAGCATTTTGCGTATGAGCAATGACTACAGCACATAATTAACCTAAAACAGCAAACTCCTGGCGACATAGCCCCTTAAAAAGCCTACCATCGAATACCACACCATTCCCATTTTTAATCAACAGTAATTAAAGTACCCTTGTTAAGAACCAATCCCTCAGCACAGGAGACATCGTGGTAGGCTTGCAAAACACCCCGTGTCTTTAGTTTGTCCATGCTGAGGTATCGCGATTCTGCTGATCCACCCACCAGAGGAACATCCAACGCTTCGAAAAGAGCCCTTTGATGAGAAAAAAAAAAAAAAAAAATCATAGGAATCAGCGACAAAACAACCTCACTTAGGTAAGACTCCATTTGTGTGGAGAAAACCTCTCCCAGGTGGAAGGGTCACCCTCCCAGCCGACTACTGGGGGTACTGCCACCATATATGGGCTATATAGGTATGTGACGCTGTGAAAGGTATGGTTTTCAAGCAGTTTATTCTGGGACAGGGTATATAAATCAGAGAGTTTGGGTCTAGAACTGGGTATCGTTTTCCCCTGGTTTTCTAGGAATCTGATCAATTGATTCAAGATTTTAGTCTAGACTACGAAAACCTGGAATTGCCGCTCAAAAATATAAACTATACCTATCGATAGAGTGCCAACGAGCGAATCATGCGTATTTTGCTTTGGAAGAAAATTACTTTTTTTCCCCATTTGACCGTTTCTTGGGCCATTCTTGTTGTAAGGATTATTTTCTTGAAAAGGTGTTATGCATGTAATTACTTTATGAGGTTCCAGAGGGGAGTCAATTCTCAGATTCAGTCTGGTGATCGTCTGCACGCAGGCTAGTGGCTTTACAAACCTGCTATGTAAAAGGGTGAAGTGTCATGAGGAATCTTTTTTGAAAAAATAAAATCAGCTTTGCAGAGGAAGCGATAGGCCATATTATTAAGTCCAGCTACATGATCTACTGTCGGTTAGGTTTCACATCGTAGATAAATATTTGCACAGTTTAATCATTTAAACCTCCTTTCAAATTTCCCGAGGCTTTTTGTTACCCGACTGAAACTTAGAATGATTCGCTGCGCTATTTGAAATGTTTCCTAGGACATGCGATGTACCGCACGTCGGTATTTTTTTTCATTGCTTTATAAACTCGGCCAGGTTTTGAAAAAAATGCTTTGTTTTCTTTTCCTTTGTCGATCGCTTTAGGCTTGGAATTCGCTTTTATTCTCATTTTTTTTAGTTTGCTGGTTAAACTTTTTCCCCAACACCAGGTTTTCCAACAGAAGCGACTGTCTTCTTACACTTTCAAAAAAGTCCTTCGTCGGATCTTCATATGGCGCGCCACTTCGTCGCTCGCGGTCGGCCACTTCGCGGCCAAACAAGGCTCGCTCCGCTCACCAAGAGGTCGACTTGTAGCAAGTCTACTGTATTCTTCGTGTCAAGCTTTCCTTATCTCCTCGTGTAATCTGATCCTGTTTAGTGGTGAGAATATTGCGTGTTGCATATGGAATACTTTTGCTGTTTTACAAACTTCTCTTTGTTAAAACTTAACATTATGGCCCCTAAAATTAATACAGTATATCAACTACTCATGTTTCTTGACTACAGTGGCCAGGTTTGACAAATAAATTTTGGTAAATAAACACAGGACGTCGAGACGGCGGGAATTGTGTGAAATTTGGTATTTTAAAAAGCGTGCCACATTCAACTTTAGCCCGTGCGATAGGTACTGCCTTTTTGGTTGGTTGACAACTGACCACTTGGTCTCAGGGGAATCTACATTACATCAGGTTACACATTTTTCCGCTCGATCGAGAATTTTTCTGCCTCTCAACCCATGCTTGCGCGGCTCTATTCTGCTGCCGCCTCGTCATCCGAGCGTCTTTCGCTCGGATGGCTCGTTGGCAATTAAATCGGAAAGTTTAAACTGACGCAACTCAGCCTAAAAGCTACTCTACGATGCGGGGGGGGGGGAGGATGGGAGGGGGTTGAGGGTAGGGGATTTGGAGAGTTTTAGTCTAGTATATGGTAGTGAAGTTCAGCTGAACTACAGCTCTGTTATACTCTAAGGGTTCCAGGGTTCCAAGATCCCAGCGGAACATCTCCACTCAAAAATTCCTAAAGTTCCCCCCCCGTACTCAACTTTAACCCTAACTCGAGCGTTTATATGAGAAAAAAACGTTTAACCCTTTGCTCGAGCAACAGTGCTCGCACATATTCCTTCAGCCTTGACCGAGTAGACCCGCTGGGCGAGCCAAAGTGTTTGTTCTATTCTTCTGATTGCGTGTGGCGTTTTTCTCTGGTAAATACGAGACAGTGTTTCTTTGTAGACCTATAGCTTTGTATATTTGATCTGTGTGACAATATGCCTGTCTGCATTTGTGAAAAATAGCTAAAAGAGTATAATTACTACGTCAGCCCGGGGGGGGGGGGGGGGAGAATCCCTTACGAGAGGCTAATGGGGATGTGCCGCTGGATGGGGTTGCAAATCTTCGGATTTTGGGGTAAGTAGAGATTCAAAATGGGAAGATTCTCGGTTAAAAAAATCAGAAAGTTGTTGTTTCACAAATTTAACAATAAGCTCGCATTGACCGCATTACATTCGGCCGCTTGAAACCACGTTGATGAGGTAGATGCATAAATAGAAAATGACTAAGTTGGGGTCGCAAAAATTACATTTTCCAAAAAGTGATTAATTAAGATATGGTCTATATTTGGCCAAAAAATAGACTATAATGAGATAGAGGCCCTGAGAGGCCAGCGGCATATCCCCAGCAAACATTAACCCAATTACCAACCCCTCCCCCCTCCACCGGGTACGTCAGCCAGTTCCTGAACAGATTTCTGGTAGATATACTTCTATCATTAGTATGGAATTTTTTGGACCAAACGCAAGCGTCTCTCTCGCGAAACGTCAGCAACCCCTTGGAGCAATGATAGGCGCCTGTGTTTGCAGCTCCAACATTGATAGCTATCAGTAGTGGTAACTTCTCCACCGCTTGTCCAGTCAATGCGTGCTCCGTTTACCGCTCAGTTATGAAATGTTGTTTACAAGGACTATTAAAAATCATTCTTATTTCTATGAATAAAATAAAAACTACTTCTCACCAGTAAGTTGTTATTCCTTTCAGGCAATAAAAGTGCACAAAAGCCAGATCAGGTTTGATGACAGATTTTATGTGTTGTAAGGCGGCTAACGTCTCCATCTTCTCCACTTTGTTTTCTCTTTCCTCTACTTTTTCAACGTCTACAATGTCGGACAGTTTTTGCACAAACGACCAGGTGCTGTCCGGTCGAACTACGGCGTAGCTGAAGGAATACGTTCCAGATCCTAAGTCATCATCGAAGTGAGCAACGTAGAAAATATTCAAAGTGAAGTTATAGTCATCTGTAGGTGAGCCAACAACGTGCAAAATCTAAAACAGGAATAAGAGTAGGTGAAGTGAGGAGCATGACTTTAAACAGGTAAAGCCTAAATATTTTTTAGGCTTTCTTTTCGCAATTACACTGATAAAGTTACGTCTTTAACTGCACGCGATTATTATTCCTTGGATTTATTTCTTCATTCCAAGGTTCCAATGTATGGAATTTACAACTAAATTCATATATTCATCACTTCATCCTTCCCCGCTAGGCAAGACCACAGAATATAAAATGAACTTTAGGTTAAAAAGGTGTCAAGATCTGCATATATTTCAGAATTTCCTCTAGCTTTCTCTATTTGATAATCTCACGCAAAGGAAATTGAGCAGGGGCACCCAACGAGAATATAGTTCAAAACTACTTAAACATAGAATTGTTAAACGTATTTTAGTATTTAAACGGTAGATATAGGCATATTTTTATCCCCTAAAAATTTTTTTTCATCTGTTCGGATTTCCTAACTGAAAGTCTAGTGATCCGAAAATTATAGGGATCAAAACTTACCTTTTCGAAAATTTCAGGCTGAAAAAAGGCTCCTGAAAATTCTAGGTGACCTTTTTAGGGTAAAAATCCGTTAAAAATAGGCAATTATACCGTTTTTTAGGTGTTCGAAAATCCTAAGAGAGGCAGGCAAGTAAGAAATTTACAACAAATGTTCCGAAAATTCTAGATCTCAAATCGTCTTCCGACAGATATTTTTCCGAAAATTGTCGTTGGATGCCCCTGATTGAGTTGCACAGATATTATTGGCCGTAGCCTGCGAACGGCAGACGTTTCTCCTCCGCTCATCGCCGCTGAGGGACGTTTCGCGAGCCGGAACGTCTGCGACTCAGCGACAGAAATTCCATACTGATGACGCAAAATCTGTGCGGAATCCGGACAGAAGAGCTAATTGGTCGACAGAGTAGTTTCATTTAGCTATTGTTTACGAATGACAGACAAAAGACAAAAGGCCGTAAAGGTCAAATGTAAACGCCATGAATCTCTAGCAAAACAGTCAATATTTGTGGAATATAGTCTTCTCTAGAAGCATTTGAGTTTTGCTGGCGCTCATTCTCACAACTGGCAACACTTTACCAAAATCGACCCGGAAAAACATAAAACTGAACAAATTTGCATTTGGAACCCATGACTACCGGATTTATTATGTAAACATTGATTTACGTCATCAGTATGGAATTTCTGTGGCAGACGTTCCTCCTCGGCGATGAGCGAGGAGAAACTTGTGCCATTCGCAGGCTATATTGGCCGTAACTCGTATATGACAACAAGTCTTTCAGTAAAAGCTCGGAGTTCTTTCTGTAACTAATGAGTCAAAATCAGCGATAAAAGGACATGTTCCTAAAGTAAGGGTCCACCTGTTGCGTAATGATCTCGGTTAGTACAGGGCGCCAAAATAAAAGTTCCTGTTACAAAACGAAAACGAAGACGTATGGACGTAGGGAAGAAATTAAAAAACTTGACGAATTCGATGTCGAAGGGACCTCAGTATCTCCATGAGTCAGTCACGCTACCACAGTGGGAGGCTTCTAAATCCAATTTTAGACAAAGACTCCTATTTTTGGAGGATATAAGTACTCAGTGACCAGAGGTCGTTTTGTACCATTTTCACTGAAAATGGTACAAAACGACATGACATGGACCATAATGCCAACCTCGTTCCCAGGGTTCTCTCCTACCCGTGCATCTTGTTTATGCCCCAAAGTTTTGCATAACCATTTTTTTTCAATTTCTCCTGGGTATTACAGTCGTCCCAAGAGAAATCTAAGACGATGGTTACGTAAAATTTTGGGGAGTAAACAAGGTTTCATTATGGTCTATGAGAAAATGATGAATATGGGAACTTGCAAACTTGTTCCCAGGTTCTCTCTCCTAGGAACGAGGTTGGGGCACGATGTTAAGTACTGCCTATCTTCAAGCTGGTAGAAAATCGCACGATTCTGAGCTGGTCACGTTAGCCTCAGGTACCACCTTAATTTGAAAATGGAACGGTCTTAATTCTCGATGGACAATCCACCTAACTTACACCGTCTGTTTTTCCGACAATTTTGACGGATTTTGAAAATGAATTATCCATCAGTCTAGTGTGAAAACGGCTAATATCGAGGCGTCCGGGACTCGACTGCACCTTTAAGCGTTTGACCTCCATATTCTACGGTTGTTGATTCAAGTCTGAAATCCTGAAAAAAAAAAAACGCAATGAAACATCCAACATAATAAATAGTCACAATAACTGCCGTTTCCGGTTTACCTACATTCACACAAACAAAAAATATTTATGAGGACTAGATTACAGAAAACGCGGCCCACTAAAAAACTTAAAAAAATACTGCTCCTACAGTCCCGCAGTCAGCCGATCTGCATAATCAACTCTCACAACCAGACATCGACTATCGACTGCTGGACTGCGGGAACACCTGGTTGTATACCCACTAAAATATTCACTTTTCAGCTACTGAGATTTAGTGCATGGACCCGGTTGAAATCAGTTCCTTTTAGGTTCTCATATCATCTACGTCTGTCCCAGGTAATTCTCTCCTTTTTAGCGTCTCTTTGTGACTATATATTGACAGAAGTTCCTGGTCAAAGTAAACTATCTGTCTGGGTGGCCAACAAAGTTCCCGTTCGCCGGGGGACGACTTGATGCACCTTTATACAACCCTGTCGGAGTGGATAGTTAAACTCTACTAGTCCGAGCGATTGCTCCTAACCTTTTCACTGCACAACAAAATTGTTAACAAGCCTAACACGACTCGGCCTACATGTGCGTCAAGGCCATTGTTTTTAACGATTTTATAGCCTCGCTTTAACAAGAGGGTCTTTAAAGGTCTTCTATCTATCTCTTTCTCTCATGTTATATTAGTTATATTAAAGGAATCTAGGCCAAACGACAAGTTCATGAAAAGTTCGACGTCTGACTCAGTTAAGTTCGTCTGAATGAGTTTGGATCGTCAGAACGTCTAAAGGTCGTCTCGGGACAAACGTTGACCTTCACATGCGACGAACTAAACTATTACATTGAAAATTTCTATGATAATGAAGCTATGTTTAGCATCTTTCGGGAGGAAAATTATTACTAATCCGATTCATTTGAATTGTTCGACGCGTCGAAAGTTCGGCGTCTAGTTCTACTGAGGCCTAGTCCAAGCGTCGAAATTTTCCTTATACGAAGCGACACCCCCCCCCTCCCCCGGAGGGGGTACTCCCTTATATAAGCCATATAGGTATGTGCCGCCCCATCGGGTAGGGTTTTTGCGCAGCCAGCTTTAGTCTGAAAACGGGTATACACTTTGCCCATTTTGGTCTGGAATCGGGTATGGTTTTCGAGGGAACTACGGAGTGTATTGATGTATTTATCGTTTCAATTCAAAAGGAGTAACCAAGAAAGAGAAATATGCGAATTCCATATGGATTTGAATAATTTTTTGTTTGCGCTCTAACGGCTAAGTAATGATAACATAATTTCTGCCTAAAGGCCAGGTCTGAAAACGGGTATGGATATTAGAGGTCTAGTCTGAAAACGGGTGTAGAAAATTAGGTTTTTTGGGCTGAAATCGGGTCAGGATTTAAGGAACCAGGCGACACCACCCCCACCAAGAATACCCAGGAATACCCCCCCGAAGACGAACCAAACTTAGGCTCGGTTCAGACGCCCCTCCACTCATGTGCCGAATCTAATTGATGAATTAAGTATGGTAAAAGAGCGGCGTCTTAATCAATTTGGTACGGCGGTTTTAGTAAGGTGTGTCAAAAGCGTTTGGTGCGACAAAAGTTCGACAGAGTCTGCCGAACTTTTGTCGAACTTAACGTAGGCTCGACACACGGTGCGCCGTCTGAATAAGATGTCGCGCCAGTGTCGCTCCAAAGTCGAACTTACACCAGTTAGGTTCGGCACATGAAAAGTACGGCGTCTGAACCGGCCCTAGTGAATTAAGTTCATGAAAAGTTCGACGTCTGGCTAAGTTATGTTCGTCTGAATGAATCGTCCAACACGTTCTATGCGTCTGCTTCAGACGGAAAGAACGTTTGAAGATCGTCTCTCGGAAAACCTTCGATCTACTAATAAACTGTCTAATAATTGTAAATTCTCTTCGGTTGCGTAGCATTAGAAGAGAATTGATTTCTGTTCGCTATTATTGTAGCTGTTGATTAATTGTGAGATGCTTTGTATGATTGTGTGTCCAGTATTTCTGAATGCAATTGTTGTTTTAATACGTGCTAAGAGGTATTTGTATTCCGGTGTAAATATGGCCGTTTAGTATGCGAGTCATTCTCGGTCGTTACGCGTCATTTTCTGCGTGTAAGTTAAATTTTATATATATTTAGGATTTATTTAGATGAGTTGATTGATTTCAAAAATAGCGCTTAACTCTATTGATCTACGTTCAATGAATTTATCTATATATATGATGTATATATTTTCGTTTATGATTGTTATTTTTTCGGCTTCGTAGGAAGGTCGTGGAGTTTTTTGGGCTTGGTTCCTACCCAGGTTTACTCCAGGGGTTATTCCTGGCCTCCGAGTGTCTCTTGTAGATACGTATCCAAAACTCCGTGTAATTTTCCTTGATGTATTCTTCACAATTCTGTTTTTTAGGCTCAGTTGGTCTTCAGTAAAGCGTAGCGGCCTACTACGGCACAATAAACCAGAAATGTTGTTAGTTGTTATTTGTGTGTTGTTGGGATGCCTGTTGTTAAGAACAGAAATTGAAATTTTGTATGATAATGTATATTCAGCCTTGTTCGGGAGACGATTTATTAAAATTGATTTTGGTCTGATTCAGTTGATTGGTTCGACGCGTCCTAAGTTCAGTCTGACGTCTGACCCAACAGACGATCGTAACTTAGGGCCTGTTTACATGGAGTGAGGGACCCCGGTCTAGTGGGGTTGGTTTCTATTGTTTTCACGCTCTGGGGGACACAAAACAAAAGAAACCTACCCCACTAGACCGGGGTCTCCCACTCCATGTAAACAGGGTCTTAATTTAGGTTG